CGCGTATATGAACGCTATATTAGTCGAAGTTATGGCCGATATATCGTAACAAGGTGGTGTTACGGACCCATATTTTTGTAAATTCATTATATCATCCCCGTAATCATACCGTTGAGGACTATTTGCTGCAATTATTTGCAATGATTGGGAGGCTACGCCACTACCCAGACCCGCCAATATGTTATTTACCTTAACCCCCGTTTGTGCCTAGATAATCATCGCAATATTATTTTATAATATGTAATATTAATATTTATAACAATTTTATACCAAATTCCACTGATCCGGTTGAGATCCAAGAAGTAATTTGAATATTGTAAAACAAATTAACCTGATTACATTGGCATCGCATACATGTGAGAGTATACGCCATAGCTTAGCTTGAAGTGGTAATGATAGTATCGGGGTCTTTTCAGTTCTTAATATTTCGTATGAATAAATTATGTTAAAAACATGTAATTTCTGAACAATTTTAATTATGAAATTTTTAAAAAACATTTAAATAAATATTATCATTTTGAAATTACTAATATTTATAGTACCTGAAATATGGCAGTATAGGTCCGAAATCTACAAATACGGGCGAGGTCGTATTGCCATTAAATATAGCAAATGGTGCAATGCCAATAAATGGCTTTATAATATCAGCGTAATGAGGTTGACTGGCTAACAAATTTATCATGACACCACTGCCCAGTGAGAATCCAATATATGCCATTTCAACTATAATCAAATTGTTACTATATTATTATTAATAATTTATAATTTTTATGAGTAGCTAGGTCTAACATTTTTCAGTCTTCAATTGTATGTAAGATATGATCGCCGGTAAGTCATAATCTACAATCTCATCGATTGAGAACTTCCAGTACCTAGGATCTATAGGCAAAAAATTTAAAAAATATGATTGACATGGCTAATTATTATTTGATTTTATTTACCAGTAAAAATAAATACAAACCCTTAATATTGTATTTCATGTGATTTAATGAATACAAAGTTCCCCTCATATTAGCCAACCAGACATCATAGCCATTGACTGCCAATACAAAGCCCAGTGTATTGCCTACCGGACCGTCATTGTTATCCTCGACCCACTGGCCATCATCGGTGAGCCGTCCCATAGAGTTGATGAGCCATAGGTTGGCATTGCATTGGAAGCAATGCTGTAATATTATTGGCTTTAACTCTGAACGGTCGGTAACATAAGGATTGATTATCCGGGTAACTGTCAGTATATAGCCGTCATATGTAGTTACATAATGGTTTTCAGCCCGAAAGCCCCGGGACCTTATGATTTGTGCCTGGTATAATGATGAAATATTAATTTAACTATTTTTTGTTATTTTATAAAAAAATTAAATAACTTATTGGCTAATATAAAAGTATTTATTTTAACACTTACCGTATTTCTATCAATATCCTGATTATAATTGACCAAGTTACGTGCATAATTCCATATAGAATGCATTTTAACCGGTTTAATTAGAATAAATATTAAAAACACTTTGAACATATAAAAATTGACCATTTTTATTATTTTATTTTATGATCAAATTGCAATCATCACAAATAAAGTATAATTAAATTAAAATTTTTTTAAATATAACTAAATTAATTGTACACTATAAATTAAACATTTTTTATTTAGAAAAAATGTTACAGGTATAATATTATTAAAAGTAAAAATATTAGTTTAACATTTATATTTACACATTGTTTTTAGAAATTTATTTTTACAGAAAGTCGTCAAAATATTTTCTCGTATAACATATAAACGTGTTTTTATTTTTAAAAACTTTCTATTTATAAAACTTAAGTATTATAGCATTTAATTATTATTACACAAAACTTCCTAAATTATACAATATTAATTTATACAATTTATACCGTAATTAGATTAGTATTTAGTTGATAAACATCTATTTTAAAAGTGTTAATCTTTTATTTAAATAAAAAATCAATATTATAAATTACCATAGACTAAATATAAACTTTTTTATTTACGCTTTAATAAACCTTAAAACAATTTAACTATAGTGTACAGTAAAGCCATAACTATTGTTTATTGGTAATAAAAATGTTTAATTTTGTTAAGCTATCTATTTTTATCTCTTTAGAGCCATAAGTCTCTTAATACAGTATACTCTGCTATCCATTGAATAATTATTGTTTGAAAATTTAAAAAATATAAAATTTATAAACTTTAAATTATTTATAAAGAAAATAGATTTATTATACCATATTTAGAAATAATAAAATATATTAATAAGTAACTAATAAGGCCTTTATTTTAAAATTTATATATATATATGTTGGTTAAGGGATATGCATTTTCCTTTCAAGTTACAGTAACTTTTATTATTAAAACTTACAAAATTAACTTTATGTATAAATTAAAAAATATATTTATTATATTAATTTTATTTTCCAATATTTAAATAAAAGCTAAATATATTGTCATTCAAATGATTTAAATTCAACATTGTACTAATATTAGATACAAATTAAATTAATAATAAATACAGTGATAGCAATTTATAAAACGTGTACTGAAAATCCCTAAATTAATAATTAACATAAAATTATTTTTATGGTTGCTGATAGTAGCTTACTGTTAATTATATAAGATATTTATATCCCAATTAACCTCAAATCCTTTATCAATCCTATTACACATCCCTGGCCTTAATCTACTCAAAAATCTTGGTTTTCATGAGTTTCTCCAAAATCTCTTTATTAGTCTTCAATTCAGAGCTCTTTTCGCGACTGACTTTCAGTTCAGTCTCTAATCGCTGCAAACGACTCGTCATATCGTCGATAGTCTGATCCCTTTGCCGTATCTTATCATTCAGTGTACGGATACACTCCATGTCCACCAACTGGTCCGTATCCGCACCGGTATGTCTCTTATGTAATAAGTCTGTGGACATTGACTTCTGGAGATTGTTTGTAGTATTAAAGGACTTTTTCTTGCGTTTGAATGCTTTGCTGCGAAACAAAGTATTAAATAT